TTCTCCTTGAGTTTTCTATATTTTTTAATTTTTTTTTGGGACAGGCTGGCAAGCAGGATTTGGGCTTTCCTTAGCTTTTGGAACACACTCCCACAGGGAAAGATTGATGACTCTCCAAAGATTCTTCCTAAAATATTTACAAAGTGAAGCTCTGAGGGTGAATGTTTCACTCGGCCACGAGGCAGAAGTGCCTGTCAGACCTCTGGGTGGCATCAGGGGGGAATATAAACAGACCTTTTTTTTCCATTCCCAAAAATCCACTCTAAACTTTGGCTTCTTTTTTACCTTTTTTTCCCTCCTTGGTTGATCCTCCTTATCCAATGCCAAACCTGGAGCTCATTAGCTTTGCCTCAAATGAGATGTCCAAGGAAATGCAGGAGCTTCTACCCATGGATAGGGGAAAGTTTTAACCTATTTTTAAGTGAAAAAAAAAAAATCAATCTTATTTTTCTGGACACATTCTGTGGGTGGGGATGGTAAAGGATAAGGATTCAGGAATTTCCCTCCCTCTGGGACACTGATGCTCCTTAAATGCCAAAAGAGGTGTTAAGTGGCAGTGATGGATCTTAAATACAGGTGTAAGAATAAGGTGATGGGTGTTAATTAGGGGAAATGGGTATTAATTAGAGGTCACGGGTGTTAATTAGGGGGAATGGGTATTAATTAGAGGTCAGGGGGGTCAGAGGGAGCTGCTGGGAAGCAGGAACAGGGAGAAGGAGCTGGAGCTGTGGGACCAGCAGGGTTGGTACCAACATTCCATTTTTCTTTTGAGTTTTCTTTTTTCTTCTTCTTCTTTTCCTCTTCTCGTTCTTCTTCTTCCTCTTCCTTTCCCTTCTTCTTCCCCTTCCTCTTTCTTCTTCCTCTTCCTTTCCCTTCCCCTTTCCCTTATTTCCTTTCCCCTTTCCCTTTTCCCCTTTCCCCTTTCCCCTTTCCCCTTCCCCTTTCCCCTTTCCCTTTCCTTCACCTTCCTTTTCTTTTCCCCTTCCCTTCCCTTTCTCATTTTCTGTCTTTCCCTTCCCCTTCCCCTTCCT